GAGAGAGAGCACCTGAGAGGGGGGAGGGCCAGAGGGAGAAGCAGACTCCCTGCCGAGCAGGGAGGCCGATGCGGGACTCGATCCAGGGACTCCAGGATCATGACCTGAGCCGAAGGCAGTCGCTTAACCAACTGAGCCACCCAGGCGCCCGGGCCAAAGACAATCTTACAATAACATTATCCCAACCTCCCAGGATCCTGTGAGTCTACGTTAACATATAAAAATTCCTTAGGAAACTTCCATTATCTTTACCCCCAAATATGTTAGCAATCAGGCTCCAAGAATATGGCCCACCAATATACATCTGAAGGGTCTCATGATCAAGGCCTTATTTATTATTTATTTTTTTGAGAGAGTGTGCGAAGGGGGGTGAGGAGCAGAGGGAGAGGAAGAGAGAGAATCTCAAGCCGACTCTGCAATCAGCATGGAGCCTGACTTGGAACTTGATCTCTTGACCCTGAAATCAAGAGTGCGATGCTTATCTGACTGAGCCACCCAGGCACCGCATTACTAAGGTTTTATTAGACAGTAACAAATGACCTTTTCCTAACTACAGCTAGACCCTGAAGGTCCCAGAAACCTTGTTTCCATAATACCTTGGGGGCTGGTGCTGTCCCAAACCCCATCCCAACTTGAAAGCATAGAATCTAAGCTTTAAGAATAGCATAAGAATCTATGCTAATCTAAGCGCAGCTCTATCTGTCCATGGGTCCTGTCCCGTGGTTTGATAAAACCACCTTTTTTGCACCAAAGACATCTCAAGAATTCTTTCTTGGCCATCGGCTCTGAACCTCAACATTTCTATGTCATCATCACATTTTAACCATGTTGTATCATGTGACAAGATCTGTTTCTTTTTTCAAAGCTGAATATTATCCCAGCAATTTGGAGACCATCTTTGAGATGTTACTCCACTGACCACCACTCATCTGTTTGCTGTTGGCCAGGACGCAGGGAGGGGTGCAAGAGCCCGTGGCTCCTGGGGTCCCAAACGGACCAGTTTTGGCCACTTACTGCTGACAAAATCCAAGGCAGAAAGACACATTGCAGGGGGCGGGTAGACAAGAGAGGAAGTTCTTTCAGGGAGGCCCACACCGGGAAGACAGCCAGGTAATGTCTCAAAGACTGTCTCCAAAGTGCTGGAAATATTTCCAGGTTTATATAAGAAAAATGGGGGGGGG